TCGGACCCGGCATGGACGAGGTCATGTGTGCTGAGGAGCTGGAACATCAATTCCTTTTCTCTTCCAAGGTTGGTTCTCCAAATTCTTCCTTCCTCCATCTTATGCATTGGAATGCTTTGATTCTTTCTTACGGCAACGCCTTATCGATTCATTAAAGTAGATAAAATGCTTTCCAACTAGTTTTGACTGGTATTATTTAGATTCAACCGAATTATTCAATAACGAACTAAATCTAATCGTGCGCAGTCCGGTAATGGAGAGACGGGCATAGCGTTTTGAAATTTATATTGAAACTCTTTTTCTGTGCCCAATACTGTTTCCTTCCGATTTTCTCAGCGGGGAAGTAATATGCAGCAACCTCAACAACCGCTGCATAACTCCCAGCGCGGCCGTCTGTTACCATCATGGAGGAAGGCGTACCAGCATTACCGCCATCTTCATCATCAATACCAGCATCAATATTACCAACTTCAACATCATACCTGCCATCCATCACATCAACATCATCAGGAAGGAGTGGGACGGAGCGGAGGAGGTCTCACTCGCTTCCCGGTGCTTATTCAATCTCCTCCACTACCATCGTCCACTCCCACCTCTCCATCACCATTGTCGTCGCTACCACCACCGACCCCTTCTGCGCATTGGGGCGAACCGTCGGAGGAAAACATTGTTTAACGTTTTTATTCTTCTCCTTTCCTCACTTTGTCAGTTTGATTGCTCATATCAATTCCATAAACGTTTCTTCACTTCTGCTTGATCGTGAGCAAGTCATAAGCTGTGCAAGTCTCCAAGTGTCTTGCATGATGCGAAGGGGTTGGATGCCTCACAAAATCGACCTGAAGGTCGCTTATTGCTACCGAGCGTTGCTGAAAGAATAGGGGTGGGGTTTCCGTTCCCTCAGTAGCCTACTCACGAAGTCCCCAATTCGCAACGCTTTCCCAGCGAAACTTTATCAATATCTTGGGTGACCGGTTGGTTTTTTTTATAAATCACCTAAACTATGTCCAAGCAACAAGCAATTTTTTTCACGCCATTCCCCAGCATTTGTTTTCAATCCATATTTTGAAAAACAAACATCGCGATCTAGGTCCGATTCCAACGACGCGCGGTCTTTAGATAGCTGTTTAAACGTTCATTTGACCAATACGTTATAAATTACTAATTTTCAATTTTATGTAATTAAGCGGAACCCTATAACGGCTCTTTAATTCATGAGAGGGATGTTGCAAAATAAATGAGGATGCAATACGCCAAGAAATCCCCATCCAATGCATCGACTTCTCAAGTAAGGATGTAGAGTTCTGTAGTCTATTTTATTGATTTATACTCCACTGGGAATCTCCTCTAATTTACTGGCTTGTCTCTGAAAATGAATTGAAGTCCCCGTAGATTCATTCTGATCATTTCCACCTTTGGAATGTATGATCTTCATTCTTCAAAAATTGAGTAAACTCATCTGTGTTTGACTGCATGTGAGAGCACTTTTACTTCCAAAGTTCTTGGCGATGCCTGAAAATATTTTTTTCTAGCCTTTTGATGGTTTTGAGGAGTTAAAATAACTTTAAAGAAAGTCACTTGCACCACAAGCGTCGCCACAAGCCATGCTTGATATGTGGAACAGCGTCATAATCAATGATAACCCCCAGATCAGTGCCAATCCACTGACTTTGTATATCAAGAGGCAGAGGGACTAAAAATTCCCACCCATCCAATTAACTACTGAATTTGGAATGTCCAGATTTTTCCCTCACTTATCGTCTTCTACTCAAAAAGTTCAAAAACAACTCTGTCTAAGATCCACTCCGTTTTATTAGTTTCCACTTTATTTTGTTTCTTGAGAATAAAGTAGAGCCTCTACAAACTTATTCTTCCCGTTTCCTCCTGAATAGTAAAATTGAGTCTATTCCATACTTGCGTTTGAGTGGGTATAGAAAGTGCTTGAATTTTTAAAGTTATGTCTACTTATGAAGATCTTGAAGACTTGAAAGCCATGAACGCTCCGTCTATTACTGCTTTACGAGGAGAGGTAGAGAAAGGACTTCGAAGAGGCTCTCTCTTCTATCTGCTGGCGGTGGAGTGCAAGAATTGGGTTTGAAGTCTATTATGCGAGGGTTGTACTTGAAAATAAGTGCTACCTTCTCGTGCACATTGCGTAAAGCATCACTCCAAACAAATTGGAACACCTCACCACCAAACAACAGAGAAAAGGGCGCCTTGTGAGTCTGCGCGGTTGCATAAAATCTACCGTCTCTAGCTCACTCAATGAGGTGATCGGCCATTTAGGAGTGGTGATTCCAATCCTCGCGGACTTAGTGAAGTAGAATGCCTTAGAGGTCTCACAGGTCGCTTTACATGCCCAAATCATTAGCGTACCTCTTGATAGGGATTTAGTGTGAGCGAGATGCAAAGCAGATAGAAAATACTACCTCAATGCCTTCAAGAATCTAATGATTAATGAGAGGGAGGAAACAATTCGTCCGAAAAGGAGTACCACCACTTTTCGATGGGTGATAGGATACAAAGACAAGGTTTGTCTCTTGAACCACTAGGATGGAAGGAAATAAACTTGTTCAGGCTTGTCTTGCCTTTAGCAACACAACAACTTGTGATTTAATGTAAACTTAAAAGCTAGATAAACCATCTTTTTTATGACACCTTGATAATTTATTTTTGTGCAAAAGTGCTACCATGCAGTTTTAAATTTGGATTTCTTGGAAGTAAGGCTAGCTTTCATTATTCCTTGGTCATGTTGTTCCAGTTTGCAAAATTGGAAAACAGGGGTCTTTCTAAATGTAGAGTAGATAATCAAATTCGTACAGTCAACGCTCCACGTTCTAGGATCTCATCTCTTGAGAAAGGAGAGCTTCACACGCATGTAAGGTCAAGATTTTCTTACTTAAGTATGGCGTCACAAATATGTGATACGCGTTTCGCATCATTTTACAGTGGTTAAATTCACCATAAAGCTTTGCAGAAAGGTTGCCTAAATTAAAAATGATAAAGCAACCGAAAATGGTTTTAGTTTTACGGCTATTTGCGTGTTTTGCTGTCTAAAGAGGTCGACCTTAAACAGGTTAAGGTCAATACGCACCAGAGACTTCTATACCGAATTGGCTATTTACCGTCATTTATCCATTTACAAGGTCGAGTGAAAATGCTAAGATGGAAATTTTTCGTGTATGTTAGTGTAGCGCCCCGAGTATTTCCCGAAAACGATAGAGTACACAATACCTTAACAGAATGTGCATTGACACCGTTCAGCCAACCGAAAGTTCAATACCTGCAAAACCCGAATGAAAAGTTAAACTTACAATACAAGCATTACAACATCTTATTATGGAGTTAGAAAGACTCCTTTTAGGTATGAGGGAATGCTACCATCCACGAAAAGTTGTTATCATCAGGCTTCGAATCAAATTGTGTTTTGTAAGATTAACTTAAAATTAACCAAAATTGTTGTATTTGAATATTCGCTATAAAAATCTGAATATCTGATGAGCGGAGGTTTTGGGTTTATAAAGCCAATCAGCGTTGAGTCATTTGATTTGTCCGCCCCACATGATCGATCGATCGATGCGCTAACTATAATTACATTAATGACAGCTAATTAGGCTTCATTATGGCAGTAGACTGGCGCGAGGGCGAAACGACTCATGGTCGGCTAAAACTTGCAATTCTCTTTAGGGAGTATGGAAGAGACTCCGGCACTCGTTTTCAAATACAAATGTCGCCGAAATATGTTCGTTGCACGACCGGCCACCTGCCGACCGGCGCTACAAACGCCCACTCCAATTGTCTCCTTCCACCACCGACCAGAAAGAGGAAGGACTACTGCAAAGGAGTCTCACACCCCCACCGTTGCCTCCTTCAATCCTCTCAAGAGAGCAATCAGGACTAAGAATGTTGCGAAAGACAAAGTTGAGCCCGAATTAAAGGAAAAGGCAACAGAACAGGAGGCAACAAATAAGGAGGTGACTTTGGAGTTTCAGAGATCCTACAACTCCTCCCTTCATTTGAACGTGTCACCATCTTCATCTATTAAATTTGATAGACGCGATGCCTCCTCGAGGATAAAGCTGTTGGCAGTGGTTCAGCGTGGTGAAAGTGTAGAACACTCAGAAAAGTCCACTTCGACAGATTCTTTTTTAAAATGCTTTAAACAACTTCCAGATTTCCCTGAAGGAGAAGAAGAAAATTCTACTGCATTAAAGTCACCAGGAAATTTAAACGATACTGCCATGGAACTTCCGTTATGGGCCAAAGTAAGTCATTTTCAAGGCAATTTTATGGACAACGAAAGACCAGGTAGTGTTGGAGACATCGAAACGGTGGTGAGTGAAGAGCCGAGACCCATCCAAAGCACAGTTTCTATCTCTGGGGACGAAAAATTGAAATCACAGCCATTTGAAGTCAAAAGAACCAATGAGTTTGGCTCTGCTGTTGCGCATCAAAGAGTGATAGTAAGACAGCTGCCTTTGAATTACGCCTTGAGTGATGAGAACTCAAAATTATCCTTGGTATCAAGGGGGATCCAGTGCAGTGATCAGCTGGACGGTGAGGAACCTGAAGAAGAGAATAATGGACCTCCTTTAAGAAACACAGCACCCGATTCACCCTACGTGACCCTGCACAAATGTGTTCGTGAGATCTATAAACAAACCTGCCATTGTCGCGCGCATTCACTCTGTATTGGCAAGCGAAATCCGAAGGTGCGAGACGTTAGCACTTGGACGTCTGATGGAAAAATAGGGGAAAAGAGAATTTCTAGAGTCTCCAAGATAATGCAAACCGAACCTCCAATGCATGACATGTCCACTCATTTTGCAGGGTACGTCTCCAGACAGAGTCAGAAATTTCAAACTGCATTCCATCCCCTTAACTATGTTCAAAGTAGGTCATTTGCACCACAGACGTCAACACAGACCATCTTTGATATGTGGGACACTGCCACAATCAGCGACAACTCTCAGATCAGTGCTGATCCACTGTCTTGGCATTTCGACAAACTAAAACTGCAGCGACATTGTCAGAGTGGGGATTCGCGAAGTGAATCAAAACGACGCAAAATTCGTCCATTACAAAGTGCCTCTTTGGATTGTCGAGGAGATCATAGTTCTCACTATTACCAGCAGCAACAAGAAAGAAGTCACACTTACTATCCAAACGCCTTCTCTGTTTCGACACAGACGCCACGGAAATCGGCTCCTCCTCATTGCATACAGACGACTGTTCGATGGAGACGTGGCTTAGATGGCGCAGACTTCAAAAGGTGGGTTGGAAGACATTCCGTAAGACGTGTTGCCACTAAGTCTCCTCCTCAGAATCGTAAGTGTGTCATTTCCTCGCCACATGTAAGGCAGAGAAGTCCCATGGTAAGGAAAGTGGTCAAATCGAATGGCCAAACATCACGCAGAAGCAATTATCGAATGCACACCTTCTCATCCATTCAGAAACGTTGCAATCATCCGTGTTTCTGTTCACAATCGAATTACAACACCTGGAGATGATGTGTGTGTGCAACGGCATAGGTGGAACCTGTGCGAGGCACTGCTTCAGCAGCTCTAATGACGTCTGACACGATACTTCTAAAATCGATCTTGAGGGCCTCCATTGTTGCAAAGGGCGAAACGTTGTTACACGACAGAAATGTGCATCAAGCGCATCGTTAAGTTCAGCCAATACATGGACGAATTTGACCTCAGAGGATGGGTCAGTTTCCTTACTACTTGTCTGTTGTTCTCCTCAATGAATCTGTTATTGTCTTATTATTTCCTAATAAATTACATGAGTTATTACATTTACCGGTGGCATATTGAAAGGGAGCTGACGTTATAGAACTGTGGGTGGCCTCAATGTGCGAAAAGTGCAGATATTGAGGTCACGCTTGTGATTGAGGAATCTAGTCTGAGTTGAAGAGTACTTTGGCCTTAGTGAAGGTGTCCACAGCAACCCACCGTACAGGAAATGGCGAATTCGGTTGATATGTTGATTGCTCGTGTCTGAGGTGTCGTGAAGGCAAACCAAGCTAGCAAACCAACTGCTCTTGTAGATCAGATGAGTGGACACCAGTCTAGTGTAACACCTGTTCTAGTGTGGGGGCGACTGTGACAGTTGCATGCATAAAGGGGAGCACCGGGAATGCAGGAGCGCTCTTCCATGGGTCACAGAAGCGCAGGCAGAAAGGGTTCATTGATGCTAATCAGAACGTGAGGGTTGTGAAAACTTGACTACATGGACATTTTAGCCATGGGCACAGGCCATTTGCGAGCATCTCCAGTCTGACTCACAAAAAATGAGGCGGTGCTGCAACAGCATCCAAGGCAGGAAACCTGCAGGACACGAGAATGTCAAATCCCCTGACCTTTTCCTTGACCCCATAAGCGGTTGAAGTGTCACATGAGGGTTATTGGTCACGTGACCACTAAAGCCAGGTATAGACTGGTCGCTCAAATGAAATGCACACTTGTCGTGGAAAGAGAAGGCGTGATCCGCCTAGCTAGCCATTTCCAATTTGACCGAGCTCTAATGAAGAGCCAGAGTGGACGGAAGAAAAAAAAAGGTCCTGTGAATCGCTGTGCAAAAGGCGCTGCTAATGCGATCAGAAGCATTGGTTGTGTGATTGGCAGGGGCAAGGAAAATCGCGTTAACGTAGGTGTGCCTGATGGAAAAGTCATGAAAATTCACGTCTTCTGGCATAAACAGGGTGATACGGCAAAAAGCTTTAACTGTTTCGCCAGATCCTCGAATGCGTTGGGATCTACGGCAACAACGGTGCCACTCTACAAACCACCACGAAAAGAACCTCCGTTGCCATCACTTAACTTCCGAGCTCGAGTTTATGGATAGAATCAGCGTTCGAGCATCGCAGTTCACGACCAGCACGACTCGAGGTGGTTTTCTAACAAGTTTTTTTCTGGTTTAACGTCATTAACCACGGTGAACGCCTAGTTATTAGCACAGGGCATGTGGAATCAAATTTTGATAGTTAAACATTTTATCCGTGGTTCCTCACGGCTGATAAACCCATTTTTTTCTTCTTTATGCTTCGTTTCTTAGTAGGGTTTTACTTTAATTAAACTAAGAAAAAAATATATGCCCCATTGCTTTCTCCCCTTTTAGGAAGTGGGCAATTAATGAAGACTGTATCGGTTGCTTATGACAAATACATTTTCGCATATAGATGCCAACATTTCAGAGCTTTAAAAAAGGCCAATTGTTAGGAAATGCAGTTTGACTAGCAATATCAAGTGGTTATCAGCATCACAGGGGTATGTGAATCTCCGATTTTCCTGTTTAAAGCGAATGTCACGTATACGTGACGCAAATATTTTCACTCATTTATTAATAACATATTAGTTGACTAATTAAAAAAATAATAACACAGAGGTAGAGTGGCCTCAAAATATTTGCTAGCTCTTGGAAATTTGTCTTCTTTCCAGATGCCTCCCTCTGGCGCCTCCATGCAACATGAAATTAAACCTTACCGGAGGAAAACCGATAGCGTGCATTTATGCGCTTGTCATTCGTGATCAATTAAGATTGCCAAAAGTTGGAAGAACAGACTCAGTACTTACTATGTCGCTGAAGGGGGTGTTTTTATCCGAGAGCTAAGCAGAAACCTCACATCGGACTGGAGATTTGGCGATTGTATATTCTTTGTAGAGCCAAAAGCACTTCTGTAAATCTTTGATATCGAAAAAACGGCCAGCGTGGCCTCAGTCTCAAACGACAAGTGGCATCACTGCCATCCTGCCAAGTTGTTTGCCTTCCAGAGATGCTTTTTGAAGCTACGAATGATTGTGAGCCACGATTGTTCCTCTAGACCCCAGTAACAAACTCGTCGCTTGTGCGACTTCTTCACGAGACCGGTTTTGCGATAGTCAGGTATTCCACGCATTAACTTAGAGTTCATTGGTATATACGACTACTTTGGCAAGTTAAAGGAGCTGCTATGACTAATTTTCTGACTGAATGAAGTACGGTAGTCTGTGAGGCTTTTGCACCCCTCAAACAACTCACTTCAATCAGAGTCATATTGCTGTGTCATCGTTGAATTCTTCTCTAGAAATGATAATGTATGGGTTTCACACTTCCGCTTACACTACTATCACTAGCAGCTGCCATTTTGACCAGCGGCATCTAAAATGGCCTGACTTCCAATGTGTTCACCACTACAGGTAAACTAGGAGGAGGCAGATCGCAAACAGATAATCTCTTCTAGATTACTGGACATGCCATTATATATTGCCCACTACTTTGTGTTGTAGTTAACTTGCGTGGGAAAACTAACTTAATGGCGATCTTTTCTACAGGAATTGTTTATTAAGGCTGTCCAGTTAATGTCACCTTGCAGTTAATGCATATTTTTTACATTTCATTTAGGGGATTTTCACAGTCACAGCGTAGGCTACCAACAATGCTTTCCAATGAGAAGTAAGTCTCTATTACACCTTGGTACTTCACAAGTTTACCCATTTTGATTTTAGAAGGGATGGTTGGTTTGGCTTAGCTTGACTTCTGAGGAAAAAAATCCCTTTTACACTTTACAGGTGACTCCATGCCTGCTTCTTTCAATCAGAAGAGTGTTTCCTCAATCGCACCCGAGCCAAGTTGGAGTCCCCAAAATAGTAAGCATTTCTTTACCGCCTTAATGGAATTGATGACTTAGTTAACCTACATACAGGAAGTGAAAGAATTGTAAAAGAAGGAAGAGCCAACAGAGCTAAGAGGTTTATGCAATTAGCTCTTTTTGTTTTAACCACGCTATGATGAAGAGGTGGAGTAAATGGTAGAGGACAAATAAGTTCCTGTGCATCGCCGTACAAAAGGCACCACCAACGCGATCGCAAGCAATGGCAATGTGAAGATTAACGGCAAGGAGAATGGCGTTAACACAGGTGCGGCGGATGGAAAATCCGCCAAAATTCGCGGTTTCAATCATAAGCAATGTGAGACGGAAAAGAACGATTTCAACAGCTTTGATAGGTCTTCGAAAGTATAGGTATCTGCACCATCCACAGTCCTATCGTTTCTTCACAAAAGCGTCACGAAACAAAGCACCATTGTTGTCTCTCCTAATCCTGTGCTCAAGTTTTTGCCCAAAAAGAGCGTTCAAGTGCGTCGCTTGAGCATGAATCCCACAGCCATTGGTGCCAAAACTACAACTGTGCCCACAGCCGCAACTCGGCGAACACGCACAAACACAATATCGCCAAAAAAGCATCTGCTGACTTGCTTCTCGTCTAAGTCCACACCGTTCATCATTCGCAAGGGATGACTAATGGCACCGAAAATTCTATCAGATTCTAGGTCGTTTCATTGCGAGAAGGAGGTGCGCGTTATCTCGCGCGTTCATTCTCGTTCACTTTCTCACACGATTCTTCAGAGACCCAACAGAGAGCAACTAATCAGATGAGAACCGACAAATCACCGGAACCTTCATAGTAGTCCATGCATCTAGCTTTATAAATCAGTGATTAGGATCACAAAACCTGGTCAGTTGATCTGCGAATTAGTGGCTGATTGGCATCACGACCCGCGTGCTCCCTCTCCACTATTGCAGGCTGACACGCCCTCCCGAGGGAATAACTACTCCCTCATTACCCTCTTTGCCAGATGATACTGTCCAATTAGAGGCGATTGGCAACTATTCCTCCGCATTTTGCTCAGAGTGGAGCCCAATTTTGAGAACTAAGACACTGTGGGTGGCCGTCTCATCACTGACAAGAGAGACAGCACTGACTTCTCAAGGGCCGATGAAGACAATGAACAAACTTGATAGTGTCCTCCGAATCAAGGAACGGGACCATGAACTTCAGGTGGATAAATGTGCGCAGGTAGAGCAACCTGCACGAAGGACTCTGACTTTGTGGCAGAGATCGAGTGAGTGTCAGGTAGATCAACTGCACTCGGGTTAATGGTACACTTCAACCGTCAGTAAGACCTTAACTCAGTGCTTCGACATGCATCCTTTCGTGGATATCAAGACTGTTATAGACTTCAAAGATTGTGGTCGAGTGATGTCTATTAGAGGTCCTTCTCATCCACATATAAAGGTCTCAGTTTCGCTCGGCGTGACACAGCATGAGCAGAGATCGTAAAAATGTCTGTAAAAAGGAAAATTTTATCCAACATCGTTCAAAAGTACCTTCTGTGAGGATCCACGAGTGGCAATAAAATACTCTATTTTTGAGAACAATTCAACCTCATATTTGCGTTCCTTGATAGCAGACTTTTTAGCACACTCAGCAAAACATCTCAGTACTCCAGCAGAAGTAACTGCTTAAGTGGGTATGGACTAAGAAGAATATGAATGAGGAGAGCATTTGCATTAAGTTTAAGATGCGAATCGAGACATGGAAGGTGGTTCGAAGGATCAATTTCAGGCTACGGAAGGTGGAACATTTCGTCTGTGCACTCATCGTCTACCGTAAAGGCTGTTTTACAGTCATCTACTGAGCTTTACATTTCGCATCCTATTTTGTATTCATATGCGCAATTTGTGGTCACAATTGTGTTGTGTAAATAAAGTCCTGCAAAACCTATCCCATTTCCATTTGTGCCGGCAACAATGCTGTGGATATGACTGAGTACTATAACCCTAACCAATGAATTTTACTCATTGTTTAATGTCACTTCTACCGTAAGAACGTCAAAAGCCAAACTTTCGTACTCTTACAATCTCACTATCAGTAAAGGTGTGCAGAAGATATGAAATATTTCATACGGTCCCCACAGACCTTCTATTACACCGCTGAAGAACCAGTTGGAAGAAACATCGGACTGTCCGGGAGTAATGTTAATAAAGGGTGTTTGTCAACTATCTCATTGGAAAGCAAGGGGACGCAATGAGTATAAATTTAGGCCACTTCTCCCAAATTCCACCCTTGATCGTACCAGATCGTTTACGTAATCAATACTTAAATCGCTATCAACATTACCATCCCAGATCAATTCCATTTTCCCCGCTATTTCCAAAGGTAATGATAAACGCGAAGTGATAAGCGAATGCACGTCACACAGAGTCATTTCACTCAGAATCTAGCAGACTGCGATGGAGAAAGCCAAACGTCAGGGCCGAAACAAAATCCTATTTAGTTAGCAAAGCGAAGGTTCGATGGAGAAAGTTGAGTACTGGACAAAGCGTATTGCAGCCACTCTCACACCTGTCATCAGAAGTGCCCAGAAGACTGCAGGGGCAAATCCAATTCTAACCATAGTTGGCAGGTGAATGAGGTGTAGCAAAGGCTAGTATTTGACTAGAATGATGATTGGCTCATGGAGGCAATACACTAGTATTCCTAGGGAAAGTAACTAGTGGATGGAAGTCCCGTTAATACAAATTGCTTCCGGATAAAAATGTGAGTAAAGAAATTGAGTAGGTTACAACCTGGAGAACGTGCAGCCACACAAGCTGAAGCAATGCTTGGTTTGAGTCGCATCCCATAGAATCCCCAATTCTTATCGCTTCACACCGTACTCAAGCCCCTTTCTGGATTGAGAAAAATAATCCCTTTGTTGATAAAAGCCCATGTGATCTGAGTTAGAGTTAATTTGCACTGGGAGTTGTGTTACCTTGGCTGTCTAGTCAGTATTGCCTTGCAATTAATGCCCATTTTTTAGTTCATTTAGAGGATTTTCACAATTACAGTGTAGGTTAAAAACACTGCGTTCCAATAAGAGGTAAACCTCCATTTCACTTTGATGCTTTGCAATTTTTTCCTCATTTTGCTTTTAAAAGGGATGGTTGGTTTGACGTTACTTGACTTCTGAGGAAAAAAACCCTGTTACGCTTTCCAGGTGATTCCATGCCTTCTGCATTCCTTTAGAAAAATATTTTCCTGTCCATGTTCCCGCTTTCAAGCACTGCTTGACGTCAGAGAAAGCAGTATTTTAGATATTTTACCAAGTCATTGACAATCCACCAACGCTACTATCAACGGAATTCCCTAAATCACACCAGATTATCCTTTTTACAGGTATTATGGCAAGGCATCCAGAGTAGTGCTTGGGTCAAATTAGTGATAGGATTTAGAGAAATAATGCACCAATCCACAAGTGCTCCACACGATTGCTGTGGTGTAAACTAACAAAGTACCACTGTAGACTAGTATGACAAACTTAGAGGAAATTTCACTCGCATTTGACTCAAAACCACCAAGTATTCCTGCATCAATGACTTATAGGCGTTTTATAGGGTCAAGGGCGCTAACATTTCACAGGTGTTTGATTTAAACTGCCTTTGCGCTTATCACCTTATTACGCTCCAAGGGAAACCTCCGACTAAGATAAGAAGGGTACAATTTCTATTCGCAGGCGACAGCTGAGGTTAAAACCTCCTTTGACGACAGACGGGATTCAGAGTCACACTTACGACTACTGCCCCCTGGGATTTCCCTCTTTTCTTTCCCCATCACGAATTCCATCTCCAGAACACATAGGTAGTCTGGTGAAGTCCTGCGAACATGATGGGTTGCAAATGGAGACACGATATCGGTGACTCCACAACCCAGTCCTTTAACAGACATGGCGTTGTGGAAACCAACATTTTGATGAATACGGGGATTGTAAAACACTGTTACTGTTCATGGCCTTCCTCCATCACAAGAATGCGATTCTTTTTCACAACTTACTTGACATGGTAATTTTAAATCACCTGACTCAATCTGTTGTCCCTATAAACGGTTTCCATGTCAAGTGTGGGTTATTGGCCCTCATGACCGCATTTGCATATCATTGGCTAGACGTCTGATCAAATTGCATCCACGTTGCTACGATAGCCAGTGAATGCCACACACCCACCATTTTCATTTTGGCCGTGTTATGATGAAGAAGTCAAGTGGATGGAGGAAGAGAAAAGTGGTTTTGCGAATTGCCGTGCAAAGGGCTCAGCCAAAGCCACGATATGCAATGGACGTGCTAGGAGCAGCAGCAAGGCGATCGACATTAAGGCGAGTGCGTGGAGAAGGAAAGTCTTAAAAATTCGCCACGTCGATCTCAAGGAAGGAAGAACATTCATCCTTGCGTCAAATCCTCCAAAGCATCGGGACCTGCACCATCCGCAGTCCCAACGATATTATCCCACAGAAGCACCTCAAAGCACTTCTCTGCTATCGTCTCTCGTACTCCCTTGCTCGAGCGTCCGAGTAGCCGTAAGGTTCCAGTGAGTAGTTTACGCACCAATCCAGCAACCGTTGGTGCTCCAAAATGCATGTCGAAGAAGCCATTACTATCCCTACTGCCCGACCCGCCTCAACAGCCACAGCCGCAGCCACAGCCACGGCTACAGTCACAATTGTGCACACGCACAAGCACGCACTATCGCCAACAACATCTCCATGCGTAGCCTTCGCCATCTGTGCCCATCGTCGAGCAAAACAAATCACACGAAGTGCTGTGCCTCCACCCCTATCAAACTTGATTTGCACAAGAGAAAGTATGAACCGTACACTGCTTCAAGCTGCTCAAGCGATGCGAATCCACAAAGCTCTCAACCACGCACAGGGTTTGTCAAGAGGATACGCCAAGTGCTCGACTTCTCGCACTTCCTCTTGGCTGGAAATTCAAGAAGTTACAAGACAAGGATTGCGGTATGTTCTCACCATCACCAGTGCAAAACACCAATCTGCCGCTTGAGAAGGTCGCATTCATGCATACCAAAATGCCTCTGACAAGGCCGCTCATCACAATCCAGTCATGCAATGGGAGATACTTTAAAATCGTCCACAGAGGCAAACAATATGCCATGTGCAGCAACAACACTAACAATGAGACGCAATCCACGTCGTACGAAGAGGTGCTTTACCTTATGCGAGGTGATGGCAATGCTTTTGATGACTCTCTGGAAACAACCAATGGCATTTCAAATTATAGCACTGCGAGTTGTATCACACCAAGTGGGATACGCGTGTGAAATGGTGCTGACTTTCTCCTCTTTCTGCTCACTCGCATTCCTAGAGAGTCTGCAGTTTGACGAAAAAAAACTCTGCAAGAACTCCACGGATTCTATTTCATGACTCGGTGGTCAAACATACACCTCCTGGTCAGACCATGAGAAAAATTGTGCCCGATAATATCTACACCTAGCTCGCTCTCTCTCCAGAACGGCAATTTGAAATGCCCCCTGTCAGAATAGCCACACCCGCGTCACTCCTCTTGCTAGATGACACCGTCTACTTCAAGGCACTTGGCAACTACTGCACTGTATTCTGTTCAGAGCAGAGCACCGAACTGAAGACGAAGAGATGGCAGTAGCCATTGCACCACTGACAGAAGGGACAGCAGTAACTCTACATGAGACGTTGGGACGCATCAACAAACTGCGCAGTATCCGCCGAGTAGACCAAAGGGGCATTCTCTTTAGGTGGATAAATACATGGGGACGTAAGTACTGCAGTGAGGGGTTTGCAGGGCTCATTCACACAGAAGTGATGAGAGAGTAATGAGGTATGACAGAAGAAGTGGATATTTGATGGAAGAAGGTGAATATTAGCAAAAGGGAAGTGTACAAAGTGGAGTAATTGCAGGTGGTAAATACTCTCTCTTCATCCCTCTCTCTGCATTCCCTTCCTCCTACTCTCTCCTTGTTCCTTCTTTGCTACTGTTTACCATTTACTGGACGTACCACGACGAGATAAATCTGGCGTGGAGTTAGAACCCGCGCTGAAAGCGTAGTAAGGACATGCCAGAGGTAGACTCTACATCAGCGAAGATAGTGGCCCCACCCATTGCCTCCATCCACAAGATGAGTGCCAATCAAGTAGTCAAAATGGACTTCTTTTCCCTCAACTTGCTGCGCCTGCAGTATGAAGTGTAGACAGTAAACCTGGAAAAAAGGAAGGAAAAGGAAGTTATGTAATTGACAGAAGAATTGCAGACGGTGTGGGTGAGGCGTTAATTGAATGCCTTTGCAGCGCATGACTACTTAATTTTCACGTCGGCGACACAAGTAAGAAGGATGGTGCTCTTGCTACCACGGCCTCCATAGATCTCCATCTCCCACCAATGTCATACAACACCTATACCTTAAAATGGAAGTCGCTTCAAATTCAGGTGAAACTAAGTGAATTATTGAAGATAACGTGGACTTTGCTGCCTATGTATCTATGCATATTCATGTTTCGATGACCTAGAAACACCTCAAAAAGTTGCTTTGCTTACTCTAAGTCAAGCTACTATGGTCACGCGAGTTCATAAAAGCAGAAAACCTTCTAACAAATGGGAAAAGGAAAAAAAAATCATCTTTAGTACAGAGGTTGATGGTCGCCCTACGGTGGTGTCAAGTGACAGCACAAGTGCGCTATAATTGTATTCTTCTACAGTAAGGAGCCGATTCTACAAATTTTCCCGTTTTGTAAGAGAGAGAGAAGCATCGTTTAAACTATTTTACATATATATTAGAAAATGATACCTCTTGTAACTCGCTTTGGCCTTCTCCCCTCCTTTCCCACTTCTTTGAGTATGCACTAGACTTTCTTGACTACGGCTTTGTGCTATCCTAAATTCGGAGAATTGTTAACACATTACGAAACAACTTACGCCCTAATGGATTCATTTTTTGAAGTGGAGGAAAGATTCTGGAATGAAGAGGGTGATGAACAGGTGGGGGAAGGAAAGAATGCTTTGCTAATCATTTTATCCATTGTTGCGGAATGCCTGTCACATGAGGGGGATAAGCAGTGCTCATAGGTCTAGATTCACTGATAAAACAGCCGTAGTGTCTGAGGTATTTTAATGCTCTACAACTAAAACATTTAAAAATGTGTGCTGCCAATGCCACACACATGTGATTCAAGGAAGAATATAACCCTCTTAAGCGTTCCTTTTATTCAGAAGTGTTTGGTCCGTACTTTTAAGGGCTGCTCATAACCAGCATTATTTTTAGCTTGCTTTTAAACATGTCAATTTATTTGTGAGATTTTTCTACTTCTAAAACTAAGGAATGAATGTGTGGAATGTTTGTTTAGATGTATTGACTGTAACGGAGAAAGGCTAGCCTAGCAATTACTTAAATTTAATTCGCTTTTCTGCCAAATTCACTATGGAAATACCCTGGGGGGAAGGTACAGATCATATTAGGGGAGAGTAAATCTCACAATTTTCACTTTATATCCCATGTGTGATCAGAGTGTTGGAAGTATTGCTTACTATAGAAGGGATCACTTCCTAATTTTGTAGAATCTTTCCATCTGATCTCGGCTGTTTTCTTTCATTGGTGCAATCTCTTAAGGTATATAAGTTGGATTCTCGCTATTATAATGTGGCTCCCTGATTCTTTTTTGAAGTCATATGGCATGGCAGAATACCCTTCAGTGATGTGTAGAAGACCCGAGGTCATCGGCCAGGCCCTAGACTGTGCCGTAAAAGGGATGTGTAATCTGTGGACACTTAAGTGTTCTCACAGAAGAAAACTAAGTGTTGAATAGGATGTCAAAGCACTGCATAGCGCAGGCACAGGCATTGCTCTTGGTCAACCTCCCACGCCGGCCGTCAAAAAACACCCATAAAATAACCGAGTCGCTAGCAGATTTGCCTAGAAATCCC